AGAACAGATGTTACTTGATGATAGGAGTCACAAAGGATAGGAAAGTAAGAAATTTCATTTTGAATGCGTTTACTCCGATTAGAAGTGATAGTTCAGAACTTCTCGCACTTTTATCTTCCTTAAGACTTACTAAGGCGTCTGAGGTCTCAAATTTTTCAGCTGAAAAGTGGCGGCGATGAAAAACACATCTGCAGCAAATATTAGCAGGGAAACTGCAATCCATTTGCCAGCCAGTCCTCTTTCTAAAACAGAAAGCATGATATGGTGCAGTGTTTTTTCCGTGGCTTCCGTCTTAATCGTCATAGGAAACTTCTTCACCATAATTCTCTTTAAAAGTAACAAGCGATTTCGTAAAAGAAGTTTGCTTTTTGTCATCAATATGGCTTTTGCTGATCTGATATTGGGCACACTCGCTCTTCCTATGTCTATTTACATTACCATCAGTATGAAAAACTATCAGCATTGGATGGGAAACGTGGATTCCTTGTGGACTGTTCCTTATTTCTCCATAACCACTTACACGTTTTCGTTGATGGTGTCTTTGAATTTTGCGGTTTTAATATCGTGCGAGAGGTTTTACGCCATATATTGGCCATTCAAACACCGGACAATAACAGTTCGAACTTATAACATTTTTATTTTTATGGTGTGGTTACTCAGTCTGCTGTTTGACACCAGCTCCGTTTATTTGCGGTCGCACAGGAATTTTATCAGATATGTTCGGTCATCTTACGCTATTGTTGTAGTAATAATTACTTGTGCTTTCAATATCGCGATTTGGAGAAAGATCAAGCACAGACGTGTCGCCTCACAGCAGCAAAACAAAGAAACACAAAATGTGCGTTTGACTAAGACATTAATGTTTGCTTCCATTCTTGCTTTGGTTTGCTGGCTTCCTTTACTTTTTGTGTCCGGTTTAAGGTATCTAGGGACTACAATGTCGATCAGATATTCCTTTCTTGCTCGCTTTCTCAATTGTTCCAACGCAATTATAAATCCAGTTATGTATGCACTTAGAATTCCGGAGTTAAGACAAGCGGTTGTTCAATGTTGTGTCAAAAAGCGAGTAAGAATTACCTCGGCAGACATCGAAATTGAAAGAATCAAGGCGGTTATCTTATCGCGGGAAGAGACACAGGAGACGAACCAGTTAAGAAAATGCGATACAGATTCCAACTGCCTTCAACTAAAATTTGATACGATTGCTATGAATACCAAGCTGTAGTCGTTGTACCTATGAAAACTAGTGTTTTTGGCAATATTATGGACTGCTTTCTTGATTGGGAGGTTGAAGCCGAGCAAGGCCAGAATATAGTGGAATACCTCATGGCTCCTTGAAAGTTTTTGAGAATTGTGTATTTTTAGTCCACGTTAAAACCAAGTGATTACTAGGAATTCGAAAGTGAAGAGAGGCTGCAGTTCAAAGTTTGGCCGTCCGGGCCAAACACGTCATGAAACATGGCGTCACTGTACAATTTTTAAAAACATACGCTAGCCCCATATTTTAGCCCTGCATTTTTTGTCTCTGATATTTGTGGCCCTTAGGACCCAAGTCACTTGATACAGTACAGAAAGAGCTTTGGGTCAAAGCAGTTTGAATGGCGTCGGTTAAAATGTGTGGGAGAAATCACAATTTAAAGTCGAGCTTCGATGACTTATTCGGGACGTTTGAGAACACGCACGCTATCACTATCATGCAAGTTTGAAGCATGTGAGATTTTTTTTGAAAAAAGAAAAATAGTACGATAAACCTTGATATATGTGCTTCACATTCATCAAAACAGAAGTCGAGTGCACGTTAGTTTTGTCCGAGTGCACGGCCATTGTTGTTGTGACTTGTTGTCCTATGTCGTCATGGCGTCATGGCTTCTGCTAGCTATCGATTTTCTCAGTATTCCTGAAGGTTCTTACAGCTCATGGATGATCATATCTTCTTCTTGAGAACAGTCTATCGACTTTATGATAAAGGGCCGTTGAGTAAGACGGTCTAACAACGTTTAATAACAACGTCTTTAAATGTTCACGGTACTTGAATTCCAAGTCTCAGCCTTTGAGGTAAGCACTCAGCTCGCGCATTCAGTTGTGTTGTTCTGTTGTATAGGGAAAACAAATACTTTATTGAGTCTGGAAAAACTCGGATTAATAAAAATTATTTCGACCTGAATCGATCTTTTTTGTGGTCATCTCAAAGATGTTTCTCTTGAAATTTTTAATTCCATTCTGTCGTCTCCTTCGCATTACAGGCATGAGAAATTATCGTCTCAATCCTCTCTCGGCCACATCAGTTTGTTTTGGTTTCGTTTAGACCAATCATATCACAGGAATCACGAGCCGTATGGAGACGCTTCAAACGGCTCATGAAGGCAAAAAAATACCACAAGTGCTTTGATTAATATTTCATTTTACTTTATTGAGATATTCAGACCGGGAAGTGATTTAGATATGCACTTTTCAGAGCTTTATTTGTAACCTTCGTAGATTTTGTTCGTTTGATGTTTACAATAGTTAACCACGAACACATAGTTTGGTCTGCCTGTGGACAAAACTGTCTATGGCCCGAAATATTAAGGCCAATATACTTTTCTTTTGTAAAGCCCGACAGACCAAGCTTTTAAAAAAATTTTTTCTTTCCTTCTTCCTTCATGGTTTTTATTTTGGAATTTAACGAAGAAAACTGTGTATAACTGGTGAATCCGGTGTATCTTCTTGTCTCCATACATTTAAAGTCCCATTTCCAACCTTGATGCAACGCGCGCCGCGACCCAATTTCCTGTAACACGAAATTCACAGATCACTGAGCTACGCCTCGAGCAACTCTTACGCATCTTTCGTGCTCTCCAAACTTCCCGCGTGCTTCATATCTCGATGAACGCAAGCTGACGTATGAACCAATTGTTAATTGTAATAAGCCAGTTGATCATTTCTTATTCCTTTTGGCGGTCTTATCTTACAGGTAGAGTTTGGCTACCTTTTCCTTATCGTGATCGTGAATTTGACATGGAGACAGATGTTTTTGTGAAACTGCGGTTTGCGGCTAGATATCAGTATATTTCCATTATGTTGCTAAAAGATGATTAACTACTAAAAAAATGACTCTACCTTATAAAAGTTGATCCCGTACAGGAATTTCCTGAAAATAACCCTCCCTAATGCTTTACCTCTTTAATATTCTCGTTTTTAGGCTAAAGCCATGTCGAATTCCCGATGCGGAAAATAGTTTTTAAATTTGAATTTAGCACGTTCGACACCTCTTTTTCTTAGATGTGAATTAAGATGTAAACACGTAGTACTTTTCATCTTCCGCACTGAATTTGTAATCAGGAAACTTATACGAATAGCACGTAGCTCTTTTAGGGGTGGTAACTTGGGTACGCCCTTTTCTTCCGAATTTTCTGTTTATTCTGCCGATATGTACCAGCCTTCAAGGTTCCTTCTCTTAAGATATCTTTTCAAGTATGATTTTAATTCTGTTGGTAAGTTTATTATAATTTTTATTTTGTTAATCTCGTTTTTGTTTCGCTCGACCTTGACCGTAAGACGAAGAAATTTAAGGTAGAAAGTCATTTAATAAAGCATAAACATCGCGAAAATATCTACTTAGTGCGCGAACTCCGCTCTGTGTAGCTTAGCGTTATTCGTTAGTTAAGTGTATAACTGAAGCATGACGAAGGTTTGAGATTGACAGCTCAGTAACCGTCACCTTTATAAGCGTTGACCCACACTTTCCTAGAGAGATCAGAGCTAGTCCCCGTTGTAATAACTTGTATAATTTAAGAGAGAATAAAAGAAATAGTCAACTGAACGAGGAGTGTTAGGAAATTACTTTTAACAATATGTCGTATGAAGAGCGCTTAAAGTTCCTTAAGTGGCCCAATCTACATCAGAGAATATTATTTTCTTCGCCTACCGAGTGCTATAAAACAGTTAACAGTCTTGACGGGCCATTGCCATTTGAGTATTTTACGCCTACACATAATTTTCGACCGTTAAGAGCCAACCATTGCCATAAACTTAAACCATTGCCCGCAAAGCTAAATAGTTTTATGTATTCTTTCTTTGTAAATGGAGCCAATGAATGGAATAATAATTATTATTATTTACCTAAAGAAGTTGCGGAGGCAGAATCTCTGAAGATTTTCAAGAACAGACTCAGATGCCATTTTACCGATGTTTTAAGGAAATTTTTGGACTATTTTAATGTGAATTTTATTCAGAATCAGAAGTAAATTTATATTTTTAATTATTGTGGATTTTATTCTGAAATAAATTTGCGGTTTTAATTATTTTATGAGGAAAACATGAAAAGGATAATCTCTTTTGTCTCCTTGTCAAATTTCTTTTGAGTTTGACTCGAGAATAAACAGTTATGTTATGTTATTGTTATGAATGAAAGGAAAACTGTATCCTGTCGACATTTCTGTTAATTTCTACAATTCATCAAGGTTGGCGTTCATCAGTTGGAATGGACAGGTGTTATATGATAGAGCACAAACCAAACAGCTTTTTCCTCCTTACCAAGAGAAGAGTCCGCGGGCGTTCGCTGCAAAAAACGCTCATGATAAAAACAGCACTTTTTCGGCGAGTATTCGCAGAGAGGTTGATTAGATTTTGTTGTTCTCCGGTCCAAGACAGAAAGCAGCAGGGTGGTAACTAATTACCCTTATTTGAATCCGATGTCGCCTTGTAACGGTTGTTATCTATCGCTCTCCTATGGAGCAGTCAGTCTATTTAAATCTGATGTCGCCTCGTAACAGTTGATTTTTATCGCTCTCCTGTGAAGCAGTCAGTTACACAGAAATTTGAAGACACATTTGCTGGAATTTAGACCACTCTATAGGTTGTTTATATATTGTAGTTGCCGAGTAATTTCGGGCGGTCACCTGCAAACACAACCGGCTGTGCAAATGAAAATAGTCATGTTATTTTTATTTGACTGTCAAGAAATAGGAAAAGCTGAGGCAGTGAACTTTTATTACTCATTCTAAAATTTTTACCTTTATACATCATAATTAAAACGCTTCCTATATCGCATTTCAGTTTCTCTTTCAACGCGTTATAGACACCAAGGCGATTCATTATTGAAATTAAGTAGATGCTAATTTGTAAACTACAAACATCTTGCACGCAATATTTTTCTAGACACTTCAACAAACAAATGTTTGCTTTAGGAAGTGGGCAAGTTATGCTTTGTTGTGATCAATTATCTTTTCCTCGCGAAGGGGAATTGAGACTGGAAACTGTCTATTGATTCATTTCTTCTCTGCTGAAGTTCTGTATATATTCGTGTATTTTTTACCACCCGAGGACCTTTTTCCTCTCGACAGAATTTAGAGACTGAAAAAAACATTCTCCATGTCGAGGTATAAATTTAAAATACAACTTGAATAAATGTTATTAAAATTTGAACGTGGGAGGACAAAGATAAAATGACCGAGAGCTGTAACTACTTATAATTACATCCATTCTGTAGGATATTATACAATTGTGAATACACCAGACAATACTGTAGCCGGCTTCTAAGAATTACAGTCTTTCACTCGTTACACAATAGGTGAAGTTTTAATATTTACAACGATGGTTAAGTCATACATCGTTTTTTTTCTATCTAGATAAACGGTAAAGAGCTAGCGTCACCAAAATGAGTGTTTATTCTACAGTAACTGCTGCAACATAAAACTTTGACAATAATTTATAACGTTTTTACGTCCACTGAGTTTAAGATGAGAATATAATTTCGACAACCATTTGAAGTTTCGAACTACGTTCTACTTACTAAGCGCAAATAGTTCTTGTTCCTCGGTTGGATACAATTTGGCATCCATAGCTTCCTCAAAGTTTGGGTGGGAAGAATCAGCTTGTGATGTTTTCATATGTGTTGTTGACGTTGCAGCGTTCTTGTTACTTGATGTTTCAGTGTTTTCCTTCTTCAACGCTTTCTTATCTTTGCCACAAAAAAGAGCCAGCGCTTGTCGAAACTCTGGAACCCTTGATGCATACACCACTGGATTCACGCAGGAGTTTGAAAAATTAAGCAGGTTGACAATCATAACGTGCCTCCACGGTATGGTGACGCCTAGCCCTCTTAAAGCATTTGAAAAGACAAAGGGAAGCCAGCAGATCAAAGCAAGAACGGAGACGAGTAACAAAGTCTTTGTCAAACGATCTTTTCGCGAGACTTTGTTTTTCTGTTGTGAGGCGAAATTTCCGCGATGAAACTTTCTCCAAATTGCAATGTTACAACCACAGATAATGGTCAGCAGAATCGAGGCGAATGGCATTCCCACGTATGTGCATTCCTGCCCTGGAATCAAGAACACTAAGCTGGAAAACGGTAGGGCCGTTATCCATATTGAAAGTATAACAATACGGTATTTTCGCACAGTCAGAGTTCGGTGATTCAAAGGCTGATATATGGCGTAAAACCTCTCACAAGAAATCAAGGTCGCTGATAGTAACGAGGCCACAAGGGAGACTTTCGAGGCAATGTCCAATGATAATATCAAAATCAAGTCACCGTTTTGGATCGCAAGTTCCTTATAGTCCGGCATACCAAAGCCGAGGTAGATGTAAAGGGGAAGGGCTAAAGCTCCGAATATCAGATCAGCAGTCGCCATGTTGATGACTAGGAAAAGACTCTTCTTCTTGCGAACCTTCTTGTTCACTGCAAAGAGGACAATAGTGAGTAGGTTCTCTACCACGATGAAGACTGAGAGCACTCCAAAAATGCTGCCCCATGCAATCTCCTCGGCCTTGGAAGGAGAGGATGTCTGCGAAAAAGCAGGTTCTTCCCCTTCAGTGATGGTGGCTGTCGATGTGGGAATCATTCTGGATTCTTAACTCAAGATGGACTTACGTTTGCACGCTTTGCCCTTAGAATGAGCGAAGAAAATCTGTTTTTATGCGTCGAATAAGTCGAGTTATATTGGCGAGCATACGGAAGTCCTGTTGATAGATAATTGAATAAACTTGCCCTGCATTACGACATGTTTAATCGTCGATGACAACCCAACAATTTCTTATTGATACAAAGCATATCCCATTGGTCAATAAACACTCAAAGGAGGCGGGATTTACTCGTGATGGAAGTTATAAATTATTCAGTTTTGGAGATGACAGCTCTTTATTTGCTTCATTATTCTTTCAGGATTCAAATTTTAACTACTCTAATTTTCTCACATTGAAATTTGACTTATGTCAACGTGGCTTTGTTTTCTTATGAGATATCTTTGAGATGAGATGTAGTAGCAACAGAGAGAAACTACGTTACATGGTCCACTAAAAAGCTATTCAATGAATAGTGGAAAAGAGCCCGCATGTGTCAAAAAGTTTATATTTTAAAGAGTGTTGATGATGTACTGAAGAAAGAATCATGCTCGATTGCATGACTGTCTGTAACGGAAATGTCGTTAAAGAGTTAAAAGTTCCGTTCAGAAACTAGTTTTTCCCATCTGCAAGTCATCTCTTTAATTAATATGATCTCTGACATAGGAGTTTACAGAAAAAGAAAGGAAAAAGCCATCAGCTCACCAAATCATGCAAGAGACGAAATGCTTTCGCGCAACTGACAAAGTGAATTTTAAACTAGTAGTCAATATTTTTTATTTTTTCTTCCCTCCAAGCACACTCTCGAAATTGCCAGAAGCAATTAATGCAACGGAAAAATTCCCATGTTGCCAGCCTCTGAATTAAACCAGGACGAAAGGCTTTTTCACTTTCAAAATTGAGAAGGAAATTAAGAGTTTAACATTTTAGGGGAAAGATCTCTACTTCCGGAGATTCTCTGCTTGATCCTGCCGTAGCAAGAATCACGTGAAGAAAGAGAAATATTGTTCAGTCTAAATGTTTAGTGATGTTATGAAAAGAAAGGAAAGTGTGAAACTAAATTAGAATAAAAATGAGGTGGAATAAAACAAAGAATGGACATATTTTAATGAACAGTTTCGCTGAATGGAGTCTTTTTGAGTGTTTTTGAGTGGTGGAGTAAATCAAAGAATGGACATACGTTAATGAACAGTTTCGCTGGATGGGGTCTTTTTGAGTTTTTTTTTAGTGATGGAGTAAAACAAAAGAATGGACTTATTTTAATGAACAGTTTCGCTGGATGGAGTCTTTTTGAGAGTCGGTCTCTTTTTCCTTATTAAAAGCATTTCGTAAATAGGCTCTCAAACTTTCCGCGGCGTTTCTTTAGGATGGCAAATTTCTCGTAAAGATTGTTCGGTCTTTGATTGTGTTCTTCCTTAAGATGTTTACCGATGACGGCATATTTGTTGCCATCCTGAAGAAATGCCACGGAAAGCTTGAGTGCCTTGTTTACAACATGCTTTTAATGAGGAATAAGAGACCGACTCTGAACATTCAAAAAGACTTCATTCTAGCGAAACTGTTCATTCTTTTGTTTTACTCCATCTCATTTTTATTCGAAAAAACGTTTGTAAGATAATGAAACAGACTTTGGCTTTTTCTTTCAATCTTGTTTCGCATAATTGTTCTGAGCTAAGCTCAATCCAACCAGAACAGTAACAGAGTTGAATTCACGGCATGAACGCAGTTTAAGGACAATGATTTCGCTGATAGTAAGTCTTACCCAGCATTATATTACTCTGAGTAATGTTGAGCCAGTCTCTCGTATCAGTTAACTGGCTCTAACTCCAAAAAATTTTGCCACTATTCTTACAAACGTTTAAAATTTCTTTAGTACGATGGGCAGTAAGTTGACTTCAGATTTTCATTTTCTGTCAGCAGACATACTAGTTAACATATTACGTGCTTAAATCAGTCTCAGACGGTTTTCAGTAGTAACTCGAAGAGTATAAAAGCTTACTATTCCGTTTTTATAGCTCGATTTTGTTTTTCATTCAACTGTCTTGTGATCATGTCAACTTTATTGACAGAATTTCGTTTGATTAAAGAACAGATGGTTTTGCTGATAGCATCTTCAAAGCTGCAATGACTAAACAAACGAACGTTAGTAAGCCGCAAGATTGAGTTCTGCACCGCTTAATATATGAGAGCTCTTGGAAAATATACTTCAAATACGCAATCTTTCCATTCCAAAACTGACATCACAGAGGCTGAGACAGTAGACGAAGCTGTCGCGCATCGCCGTAGGCTTCGTTAGAGTTTTCTTTCCTTTTAACCCAGTCTGATCCTTTTTTTCCGCCCATTGACGAGTCAGAGTTCCAACTCGATGATATCGTTTCTATAAAAGAGTTTCTCTAAAGCAGTCAATTTGAGATCTCATTAAATGTTCCTGTTCCGTGACTCTAACTCCGAGCTAATTTTAGCACTCAAGACTTCCCTTTCTACCATAAGGTAAACATCTCTTGTCAAATTTTCCCAAATTTTCTCAAATTAACTCAAAATCATTGTCACTTGGAGGATCTACAACTTACATTGAAACAAACTGATTAAAATTTGTGCGATTATTTACCCAAACTGATTCCGAATCCATTGCGACGAAAATTTGAGTATAAATGTACGAGTACTTCCAAACGATGTTTTTTTACATATTCCATGTTAGTTTATTTCTCGCTTCTTAAAAGCCGAGGCAGGATCTTTCCTTTAAAAACCTGTTTCTTAAGAAATTAGGATACACGCGTTTTAATGCAGTGGAGAAATTCCTCATTCTCTTTCCTCCCGTGAAACCCTTGACAGAAACAGAAGCACAACTGTTCTGAAAAGAAAACTACCGAGACTCTCGGACTGAAATTAAAAAAATTATTCAACTTGATTACAATTTTCTACCGATCATTAAACCATCTGTCGTTCGTACCCACTGTGAACAATGGGCGACAACGAAGTATATCCTTGCAAGTATTTTGTGCGAAAACCCCAAAAGATGTTGTAAAGGATTTAGAATCTTTCTTTGAACTAGGGACAAATAAAATCAACGGTCAAGAAATATGTAGACTCTTTAATAACTAGCACGGGGGCTTGTCATATAAAGAAGTAACAAAAGTTTTCTGTAAAACAGTTTAAAGTTTTACATCCACGTGACAAAAAATATTTCGAACAGTGAATCATATAATCTACCATGTCATGTTATTTTTCTTTTTTTTCCTATGTTTTGGCTGCCATATCGGTTTCTGGGGTTTAGGAGGCAAATTAGCGGCAGCTTTCCTGTCTTGAAACTCCTGCCTGGATACAATTAAAAGGAAGGGGAAATAATTAGGAGTGCTATAAAAAGAGTAAAGCCAAAAAGTCAACTTTTAACTTACAAAACTTAATTCGCTGGTCTGAATGTGGGGTTTAAGGGTTTCCGGCGATTCTTGCGAGAGATCAGTGGTATCAGTTTAGTACGTTCATTCAAATTTACTCCGTAACTTACCATTTTTTCCCGAAGAAATTCACCACTAGATACGTGATATATTTTGTCAACCAGTAAAAAGTGATGAGTGCCGCATTTACAACGAGTCCAGCACATAGGTTGTATAAAATATTTAGGCATGTCAAGGGAAGAAATCGTCCTTGTATGGCTCTCAAGTGTTCTGAAGATGGAAATAGAAAACCGAAAAACAGGGTGAAAGGGTTATTTGAAATGAATAAACTAGTGGTTCAATTTTAACGATAGCACGAGTTAAAGTATGTTTCCATCTACTATAACACCAGTAAGTAAATAAGATACGATCATCAACTGCGTGCTCTTGAAACAAAGATCGAGAAATCGATTTTCTATTGCCGAACTAAATCTGTTTAGTAATTAATTCTGTGATCTCATCATGCGGATGAGAAAGGTACTGAAGACTGTGTCGTATTGATCGACGTTCGACAACCTGAACGCAAGTTATCATCGGAGCTGAGTAAAGAGCTATTATCAATCGGGTGTTATAATTCCGATTAGTGTAAATTGGTTGGTCAGTTTGATTGGTCACAACCTTAACGGAAGTTATTATCAGAGCTGAGTGAAGACCTATTATCAGTCGGGTGCTATAAGTCCGATTAGTGTAAACTAATTGGTCAGTTTGATTGGTCACAACCTGATTGATCATAACATAACATAAAGGAAGTTATTATCAAAGCTGAGTGAAGAGCTATTGTAATTCACGTGTTAGAAGTCTGATTCGTGTAAACTGATTGGTCGGTTTTGCTGTGATGGTATTAGCCGTAAGACTATGGTTGCTTAAGTCGGTCGTTTCTGGTCAGTTCTGTTCCGTTCGATTCGTTTGTCGTGTAAACGTCGTAAAGACGTCGTTTCTTGACGGAATCGGTGGTCACTAACATCTGTTAAAAGGCAGCGTGCTCTAAGTTAGAGAACCAGCTTTCCGTCGTCAGTCATTGATTGTAGTTGAAGCGGTAGGCTAAGCATTGCCAAGAGTTCCAGAACTAAGTAAGTCGATGATGTTCAGCAATACGACTGTGAAAGTCAACATTTCTTGTCACTCGTTTGCGTTCAGTCAGCTCCGACGTAAAAGGCTTGGCAGCTGAGCCCTCGATCTTATAAAGCACTCCTTTTTGATTGTTCGGTACATCGTTCTCTTAGTAAATGACGTAAATTAGTAAATGATATAGCGGCAATGTAGGGTTGTAGGATCCACCAGATGGCTTCAGACATGCCATATATGGTTTAGTCTTTAAAGACGTAGGAGTTACGCTGTCGTTGTTTTGATAATTACTGTAGGTCAGTGGGTTTTTCGTTGGTGGGTCGATTGAAAAAAATTAATTATAAGGAGAACTTTAATTTATTTTGCGACAAACAGTCAGGTGAAAAAATGATAGCATTTTGATCCAATTCGTCTTTTTTGAACCGATTAATATAAGTAATAGGACCGAGTGGAGTACAATTTGGTCTGTAATCGTACGAGCGATTAATTAACGAAGCAGGAGTCCGATTTGTTAATTATGAGTATGATTACAGACAGAATTGGACGACACGAAGTCCTGTTACCAATTAATCAAAATTATGACAAAATTTTAAAAAGAAACTAGATATCGGTTGAACGTTTTTATTAAAAAAAAAACAGTAAAATCGGAGAAATGGGAGGCAATAACGCCCGCACATGACGCGTTCTGTCCACTTGCACAGGCATGACGTGTTAACTGTCCCTTTACCTGTCTTGTTACGCTATCCAATTACAAGCATGATGCGTACACTGTCCTAGTAGTGCTAAAATCGGGCTGTTGATAACCAATCATGTTCCACAATTTTTTTTACAGTTTTGATTAAGCCTAATATGTGCAATCTTTACAGCGCGCGCAAACGCGATCGCGAAAACAAACAAATTCACGCGCAAACTATCATAGCAACGGCTCAAATAAACGGTTAAAGCCCAAAGGATTAAATATGAGATATTTGAAAACTATACGGCTTTTGATTTTAAGCCTGCCTCTCAATACTCACATGATCAATAATTTAACACTCAACGAGACAATGCTTATCTGTTTAGCTGTTAACCGCAAAAAAAAAAAGAAAGAAAAATTAGCCGTTAGCCGTAAAAATTGATAAATTTTCGCCGTAAGTCGTGAAAAAAGTTAATTGTTAAAAATGTTCCTTTTAATCACAACGGAAAGAAATTAACTGTTTGCCGTAAAATGGCCCAAATTTCAACCTTTAACTGTGAGAGCCACAACCTATTAAGACCTTTCAAGACAATATAAACTCCCTTCAGCGGTCAGGGCGGCAACGCCGAGGGAGACGTCGATTCAAAATGAATTTATATTTTTTAGATATAATTTCGGGAATGACTGAATGTGTTTACCGTCTCTGACGGCGCCACACCTCAATTTCGAATTCAGCACAACCTATGGGAGCAGTGTTGAATTCCAAATGGAAACTTAAATATTTTAAATTCAAAATATTTGGTGATTTGCAGAGGACGGCTAAGAAGTGAACAACGACTCAAAAGAACGTGCTGCGCTATTGTTCTGCCCATTTTATCATTTGCTTTGCCTCTCCTCGTTTCCATCACCGATGTGGTTTGCTAAAAAATCACTTTCATGATTCGATTCACCTCGAAATTAATTTTTGATTGATGAGTTCAAACTAACCTAACCCTTGTAGCCAAAAGTTTTTACTTCACGCACACAAAAAGCCTAAAAATAAACTGTAAAAAGTTTGTTGAACCTACCTTTTGTGTTAACTATTTGTGATAACAGGAAAAGGAGTGAAAGATCTACAAGCGCTGTCACCCACTTCATCGTAGAAACACAACTTGTTTTCTTTGTACTTCAAACTGTCGACATCTACGTTCCGCAAAAGACAGCGTAATAATTCAAAGGTTGAACGTCACAGTAGGAGATTGTGACGAAATGCGCGCGGATGATATTTTAGAGTCGTTCCCAGGTTTTTTGTCAGTTATGGTTATTTTCCAACATTACCCTGGTCTTGGCTATTTACACATATTGGGAACCTTGTCCTAGGTTCCTGCAGTCCTTGAACCCTAAGTGAGAAATGAGAGAAAATGGACTGAATCCTTTATTCTCATCTTGGTTTCCTTTTCCTTCTTTGCTCGGTGTGTTTTTGTAAAAACGGAACTGTAAAAACTGAACTCCCAAACGAAGGTTTATCATGTCAAGGGCACTTGAGGGTACCTCGCTGCTACATTGTTCCGGTCGTTATCTGACTGATTTGACACCATTTATGCTCCTGTTTGCAGCAAATTTCATGATTTAAAATACTTATGTTAAGACTGTTAGAACAAGATCAGAGAGTTTTAGATTCAAGTTTGTTTCTTAAGAGATGTGATGGTAAACCTCTAGGAATTATGATCACGTAACCAGATCCCAGCGGTCACGTTCGCCGTACTAGTTTGTAGTCCATGTTCGTTTGAACTTCGGATGTAATTTCAGGTAGGTCAACTGCCTCGGCGTTTTTCTTCATCCTGTTCGAAAGTTCTCACGTATGTCATGTAAATGTACGTGAGATGAGGTCTTTTATTTTTATGTTAATGTTTGTAGCTCTGACAGGGCTAACGCTTGGAACGTCAGCTTTGAAACTCTTTACGGTGGCCAATTTACGTTATCAACTCAGTTGATAACGCTTAATTTCCCTCTTTTCTTTTTAACCAAGCAGTTAGGGACGCTAAAATCCAAAATTTTTAGCCACACTTTGTTTCAAATAAAGGACCTCCATCCTGTGTGTAATTCAAGATGGTGGCGCACAAGTTGTTTTCACGGATTTTTTTTTTTCAAGTGAAACCCGCATCGATCTAAAAGGCTGAAAATCTCGAAACTTCAAAGCGCTAACAGCAATTTGAAGTCTGAGGTTAATACGCCAAACGTAAATCTAAACCTCTTTGTTAACTAAAATGGCTTCTTTAGGAGTCAAAACCTATTCTAAAGCAATGGCTATCGTATTTATTGTTTTAGTCGTGTTACTCACACTCGTGTGTCGTAGGGCTTAGCGTTTCAAAGCGACTTCGCGCTTTCGTGGTCAGAGGTTTGCCTTAGAAAAGAATGCGCATGTTTCTCGAAATATATTGCGATTTTGATAAGAAGTAAATATGTTCTGCCCTAAGGAAACAAGTTGAAAGATTCAGGCGAGAACTGGTAAAAGCAGGGGCTGACGTTTTTACTTCAAGGGGCGAACTTGCAAAGTTGGTAGGAGTGCGAACTTTCGATGGGGTGTAACCTCAATAAACCCACTTAATAGATAAAATGCTGAATTTTTTCTTGACGTCATTGCATGGTTCTCAATTTCACAGTTTCTAACAAACGTAAACACCGACTTAATTTCAAATGCCCCTAAGGGGAAAAAGGGCGAAAATGCTGATCGTGTTCAAATGTTATCTTTGGCGAAAGTACACTATAGCAATTAGCGCCATTTCACTTAATTTTAATGTCATCATCGGGTACCAGAGGAACTGAATCAGGAGGATTCAGAAGGGAAGTGATGTCCGCTGAGAGTTGCAATTCTCGGTAATTTTTCAAATTGTGAACTCAGCTAGGAGTCTTAAGAACCTCGATTGCTCTAGAATGGTCGGAAAGACACCAGCTGCTGGACCGACAAGTATACTCTTCTCAGCTTGCAATCACAAGATTTTATTTTTATCGGAAATAACTAAATCTCTGATCAGCTTTATTCATAGCTCTCAAAGACCAACTTTCCCCCTATGTAGTCGGACGTGTTTCTTCAATAATATTTCGTAGACGCTAATTCGAGTTTTTTTGTCTCGGAAATGGCTTCACAGAATTTTCCTGAATTTTGTCTACATGAAATACAACTTATACACATGAAGACGAATAGTAATGATGGTAGATGTGGAATTGTTCAAATCAGTGTAAACGGCGTTGTTAGTAGAACATTAGGAAAAGATAAAATTTGTCAACTTGCTATCCCGAGAGTAACAGAAAACCGATAGGAGTCGAGTGGAAACATTTGTTGGCTTCTCTACTCGAATATGTAAAACTGTGTTCCGCCACCTAAATTTGACCGCAAATTATTTATGAATAATAAATGAGCTTTTAATCCTGATAAACAAATGTGCCTTGCTTTTTGAGATGCGAAAAAAAAGCGCTTAATACTTGAAAACACAGCTGGGGAAGAGAAAAAACATATTGGGGCACTTCATAGTGGAGAAGAGAATACCTCGTTTGGACGAACTAATGTTGGAAATAGAGAGGGACATTTACATTCCTGCTCACCAAGTACGTTTTAGTTGAATAACTAACATGAAGAATAAACACAGTGTTGAGTTAACCACTTTGATTTCTTTATCGTGCGAACATATATATTTTTCAGTCCTTGAGTCATCCTCAAGTTAGTTTTCGTTCCCCATCGCCTTCTCTCTCTAAAATTTGGTCGGTCAGGTATGAAAAGAAAACTAAGACAAATGGAGCCTCAGTTTTGGAAAAGGATGGATGTGCGCATCTTCTCTCCTGACCCAAGCGTTTTCAAAGAAACCTTGAAAATCTGCTTTTAAATAGAATGTGATTTTGGTTAACAACCGAAATCTTGTTGGTAAAACGGTGTATTCAGCATTAATTTTTTTAGTTTTCCACTGAAGAATGGTCGGTCGGGCAATGGGAAACGAAATTTTTTATTGGGATGGCCTAACAGATCGAAGGAGAGTCTGTATGTCTAAAGTGAGCTTCTAACTCCTCGGTGATTAGGCAGGTCCAATGAAATATTCATCATTAGCAAAAGTCCAACCCATTAGTGTTTTCAAAGTCAAATTATTTCATGGAAGACAGATTTATTTAACGTTTGGTTTTTGTATGAAAAATAATTAGTTGTTTGCTGCGGAACAAAGCAGAGAGGAAATTTCAATTACCCCGAAACACCCTTTGGGTGATAATGAACAATATATGGCGTTTTCATTTCCTCGTCTACAAATCCCTGGCGGATAGAGCTTGTCACAGTTCAGTCAAAAATAATTAAAAAATGACAAATACTTCAATGAGATACGTCATCAGAGACAAAATTTTGCCGAATTAAAGGCAATGGACAAGAATCTTCTTTGATAAGCTAAGGGTTGAAATCGAGGACAGCTTTAATGGGCATGGAATTAACAGATGCGACGAAAAGTTTATTTCGCACTCCATTTTAAGGCTGAGAGACGGGTAATTACTCAATATACGATTGGCTAGTGAGTCACTACAAGAGAAAATAAAACGTAACTACCGCTCATATGGCACTTGTTGTTATTTTAGCGAGGAGAGTGAAAACCAAATGAGGAACATAACGGGGAACGCTATGGTGGCAAACATCAGCAAAGTGAATGAATCGAGTTCAGCGAATGGCAGTTCACCCTCTAGTACTGAAGGCATTGCAATGTGCAGCGCTTTTGCGCTGATCTGTGTTTTGGTCGTCGTTGGAAACCTCGTCACCATTGTTCTCTTTACTGTTAACAAGAGACTTGGCAAAAAAAGTTTATATCTTGTCATTAATATGGCGTTTGCTGATTTCATGTACGGAGTTCTATCGGTTCCATTCTTCATTTACTTCGAACTCGGCGTGTACTTCTATCAGCTTTGGACAATGGGAGATTCAGACTTGCCCATTTTTTATTTTTACCTCGTGGTTGATCGTATTTTTTCGGCGGCTTCGTTATTATCAGTGACTTGCATATCCTATGAGAGATTTCACGCCATCTATCGACCATTTAAGCACCGATCTCTGACGGCGCGACACTACAAAATTGTTATTTTTTTCATTTGGGCATTAGCATTTCTTCACTCAGCATGTTCTCTCTTTTATTCAGGAAAGTTCTACATCTACTTTTGGATATTGATGGGAGTGGTCTTATCTTTTATCATAGTGGCTTGTTACGTCGCCATTTGGTTAAAGTTTCGTAAAGGAAGCGTTGCTACGCAACAACAAAACAGAGACGCACAAAATGTGCGTTTGACAAAGACTCTGCTGCTTGTTTCTATCACCACATTAATCTGTTGGCTCCCTTTAATTGTCGTGAGCGACTTACATTTACTTAATGTTGAAATATCGTGGAGATATTATGTATTTTCGGTCTTTTTAAATTATTGTAACTCGTTTATTAATGCAATTGTCTACGCACTGAAACTTCCAGAGTTTCGAGAGGGGATGGCCGCTTCATGCTGTGTCCATGCCAGTCCTGTCAGAAGACAAGAGGCGGGGAATCCTGTAAACTCTAACTCGAGAAATAATCAGGCAGCCTTCTCAATTACGCGGGTTATACATAAATAGGAGCATTTCACAAAGATTCTGGTACACTTAAGAGCCGAAGAGTGATAAAAACTCAGTGGGTAGATCAGGTATGAAAACCACACGCGGAAAGTAAGAAAAATTCTCCTAGGATGACCGTTCTCTAATGACCTGACGTTTTTACTTGATGGTAAAATAAAAAAAAAAATACTGATAAATTAAAAAAATTGGAAAGAATCTTCATTTTAAGATTATAGAAAGTTTTAATGTGTTCCCCTGCAGTTAAAAGGGGAGGATAACCACTTAGCCTAGGTTATCAAATTAGTAAGGGAGAGAAGTTCTTTTCTCAATAAGTGACGCCTACGGGCGTATTTAAAAAAGCATTTACCTGTAAACTAGCTTCATGTACCAACATGCAAATGACTGTAATTAAAATTTAGACGTAAATAATCTGCCGCACGGTGAGAATAAAACTAGTATACTTGAAGTCAAAGAATCCATCCTTTCACGCTTATGCACCCCCCCCTCCCCCCCCATTCCCGATGCATGCTTTGATCAGCAGACAGCAGGTTCCCTCTCTCCTACAAACAGTAATATGTGCATTCCCGGCAGGGGCGTAGCCAAGATTTTCCAAAGGGGGCTACACTGTGTCAAACAGAGGGTACTCACCAGATTTTCATGTCGACCTCCACGCCGCGTTTTACTTATGGGACAAAAAAGGCTTACAGAAGGGGAGTCACGGGCGCCTCAGGACCCCACCGAACTATGCCCTCGGTCAGATGCATGATTTGATCAGCAGGTACCCTCTCTCCTCTATACAGTGATATGTAACGCTGCATCAGCAGGAAAGGCCTAAAAAGTTTCTGTGGAACAAGAGGAGTGGGTGTCGGCTTACCCCTTGTCGACTGAGCAGAGCAAACAAAAGGAGCACATTATGCTACCAACATTGTCCATCATTTTTTCCCAATTATGTACTTAAAATATTCTCGTTTTTAAATAGTTGGCCACTCTTCCAGGTGATCTTCAAGTATAGGTGATCTCCTCTCAAGCTTTACTTTCTTGAAAGGTTTGGTTTTGTTTCACAAGAAAACAAATAGCGTCGACCACTTTAATAAAATAGTGGGGACCCTCTACAAAGGCAACCAGACACCTCAATTTTTCGCGTGACTGTCAGGCCTGGTTGCTAAGCACTAACGGTGATCTGCGAACTTTGTTTTTGTCGCTAAGTGTCTGTGCGAAACTAGAATTTTGACGCATTAGAGAAACGTTAAAGCTGAAGAAAGCGATGGAAAGCTCTTGCAGCTCGACTTCAAGCGAAGGTATGTTAATTTTTTTTGCCAGCATTTTTGTTAATGCCGTTTTTTTTTATTTTTTCGTGGGGCACAGTTCATATTTTAGTGAATTAGTCATATGACTACTTCTGTGTCGATAACAACGATGCAACATCCTCTCAGGTTTTATAATTTGTCGTTCTCTAGGTGATCGATTCACTGGGTAAACTGAAATTTTTTTACTTCTCTTAAGGTTATGCAGCTATACATAGCAGTTTTATTGACTCTTCTTCTTTGGTGCATGTGTGTTTACAATATTAGCAATGTTTAGATCACTTATGAAACATTGTGTATTTAGGGTGCGATCATAGCTTGCCGTTTTAATGTTAAAGTATCAGCTAACAACACCAAATAAGTCATGTTTTATAGTTTTAATGCTCGATAGGCAGCATTTCTGAAAAAGAAAAAACTTTGAGAAGTGCTCGATAGGCAGCAGCATGCGCATCATTTTTCAGTGAACCCGAGCCAACATCTGGCCAACATCTGATAATATTGTTCACTGTTTCACGGTTGGAGTATTTGTTACGCTTTTCTTTTGTATCGATTAACCACCTGCATTACTTATTTTTTTAAACAAGTCTCTGTCAACTATTAACACAGAAGAACAGAAGGATGAGGTGGGTGAAAGGAAAACGACTACGGACTCGTGATTCAGGTCATAAACCCAAAAACGCTCACGACTTAATTGTGAGGAGGGAGGGGTGGGGGTTTACAAGAGAGAGGTTTATCCTAAGAAGCGAATTACAGGTATTTTTTAAACGATGTTGGCCAGTTTTTATGCGTTCTGTAAACAGTGTGCATTTCTTTGGTTGAAATGCCAGCAATTTTATAATCAGAAAGAAACTACATGTAGTCGAAAGATTCATGTACTTGTACATGTTGCAAATGGTTTTATGGACAAGATTTGGTACCCAGACTCTGCTTGGAAGCTGGGGGTTATTGCAGCAACTCTGACAACAATGGTTGCTTTTTTATACTAAAGAACAATAGCTGCTGTGAGGGAGACTAAGTCTTACACTTTGCCAAATAACTTTGCCTATTTTTCAACAATTAATTTGTTGTTTTGTCTATCAGGTAATGATCCTGGTTTAAGGAAATGCAGTGACTGTAAAAAGTCTTACAAATCCTGTGAATGCAAGGTAACCATCAGTGACAATTGTAAAAATTCATTTAAACTTAATTAATTGTCTTAGTTGCAGATTATGTTGGTATTTATAATTTGTTGTATTTACATATTATTTTAGAGCACTACTGATAGAATATTAGGGGTGCAGTTTCCTATGCTGTATGTGTTTTTTTTTGTTTGCCAAGTTTTCTTTTTAATGAATAATTTAAAGGCCATCTGTTGACCCTTTAACTCCCAGAAGTGATTAACATGAAACTTCTCCTTATAACATCCTTACCTTATTCAGCAAACAGGTTATGAGAATATTCAAACTTATCAGGTATAAAATGCTATCTTGATCTAGCACCAAGTTCTCATAACTAATTTACAGGGAAATGTGCAGCAGCTAGAGGGGAGAATTAACAATCAGATCTTGGGAGTTAAAGGGTTAAGAACACATTCGACAACCTTGAATTGCCAGACTGTTCCTGATATGGAGATTATTGTGGTCATTATTAAAGAGGAATATATGGACTGAATGTGTATGAGAGATTACATTGTGTTTTTTTCGGCCAACTTTGCTGGCCTCTACAAATTCATTAAATAATTAATCCATAAACCACACCAATACCCACAAGTACAGCACCAAATAACTTCCCAACGTACATTTTATGATGATTTATGGGAAGTCTTCTCAGTGATTTACATCCTTCTTCTGTATCCTATCCTCAATGCAAACTCTGTTTTATATTTCTGGTAAAGTAGGTGCTGATATTCTCAGTAACTTTTGGTAAATTAAATTGACTTCATTTATATTTGCCTGTATGCAGTAACTAAATCTAGGCACAGTCCTGCTTTGGGTTTCAAATTTGTCTTGTATGAAAATTTCATACACATCTGAAATTTTGCCATGTGAAACACACAATGCAAGCAGTTTTAGAAAGCGTGAATTTAATATCAGAATGATTCCTTCCTGAGGGTGTCTTCACATGCTTTTCAACTAGTTCTTGAATTTGGGATATGAAAAGCTTGGACTTGTGCTTTCCCTTAAGAGTCTAAATGCTGATTTGTGACTAATAGTATAACACATATTATTAATTCACACAGAATTGCTCAAAGTGTGGATCAGTTTTTCACAAGTATTGGGGAACTAACCTAGTGAAGGGAAGGTTAGTACCTTTTCAGAATGCTTACAAACTTGCAATTGCTCCCTATGGAGAACTCCTACCAACACCTACAGTTCTATAGAGATTCTTTATTACAAGTACATTTTGCATTTTGTTATACTGAGCAGTTTTATTGAAAATAAATGATATATTTATGCTCTATCAAATGACAGGGTTTTTTTATTCTCTTCTTTGAATTGAAAGGTCCCATTGCCGCACATGTTGTGCAGCAGTATGTGTTACTTGTCATGTGGTAGCCAACAATGGTATAAAGGTAACTTTAGTTAAAAATTATTCCTTGGTTTATTTTATAGAATTGTTTTCACACTAGTTTACAATCTGCTGCCTGAACAGGAAGTTGCAAAAATTAGTTCCCTGCAGAAATTTCTGATTAGTTATTGGAATAAAAAAATCCGCCTTAAAAAGAAATCACTCAATTTAGATGCACAAAATGAATTTTTAATGCACAGTTGGCATGCTACATGGTACTTAATTACTTAAATCATAGACCAATTATTGCTTATGGTATGCAAAATTGATAGTTTCAAAAGGGTGCATTTATTGGCAGTTACTTCACCAAGCAGATAATAACACATTGCATGGTCTTACTGAGGTTTCATGGACTTGTTGTAGGTGTGTACAAGATGTCTTATCAAACAAAAAGAGGACGAGATGAATACACAGAAAGCACTCTCAGCTATTGAGGAAGCCAGAACAGGGAGAGGTGTGGTTAAAGATTATCATTTACTTATACATTGTAGATTTCTTTAAACTGTACTTGTCTTAATGATGCACATTTTTGAATTGCAATTGATACCCCAAAGTTTCTGGAGAGTTTGCTGTAAAATCAATGCATAGGCACTTTTTGTAGCCACTTGCCTTGATCTTGATCTTGCATCTTTCCATTGTCTGAGTGTGTAAGTCTCATTCAATGGTGTATTAGTAGTTCCCATAGATAACATTGCTGATAAATAAAATTAATCTTAATAACATGATTTATTTTTCCATAGTTGACTCAGTGTCTTCAGTGAGATCAGACTCATTTGTGGTTGTGTCATCGTTGTCTCGTCTGTCTCCTGAGAAGAAGAAAGAGGCTCTTTTTGAGGCTGCCAAGACAGGTATAGTAAAGAATGAGTCTTTTAAACAAAACCAGTTTTTAGCCCAGTGCACTGATAAAAATTATGCTATTCCATATATATTGCACAAATGTGTTGCCATAAGATTGCAGTTAGTGGAGGTTGAATGAAAGGAAGAGATCTTCTGTTTAACAAAACAGAATTCTGTTAGAACTGCACTGTAGGTGAAATTCTTCATTTCCAAACTCCGTGTCACCTACCTCTCTTAAAGACCTACTCAGAATTAATCTTATCTCAAACTAACAATCTTAATGCTCAAGAATTTTCATAAAATGATTCAGAGCTGAAATCCAGATCACATGTT